CGGGGTGGTAAGCGAGGTGCGGCGCGTGAGTCGGCGTGCGGGCGCGTGAGTCGGCGTGCGCTTGCTGGACTCAGGCGAGGGGGATGCCGGCAGGTCTGGAAAACGGGTTTCCACACGTGACGTCCCTCGGTGTTCAGGGCGAGTTCGTGCCGCGTGCGGGGTGGTAAGCGAGGTGCGGCGTGTGAGTCGGTGTGCGGGTGGGCCGAGCGACCCTTAGGTGCGGCGCCCAGGGAAGCTGCGTGTCCCCGTGTGCTGTTACGTTGGGGAGGGCCTGGAGGAAGAGCACATTTACTCCCGAATGAGTGCGTTTGACCTGCGCTTGCTGGACTCAGGCGAGGCGGATGCCGGCAGGTCTAGCCGTGTCCCCTCTGGGCCCCTGATCACCTCGCCCCAGGTCTGAGCCCCAGAAGCAGGGCTGCCTGGGTGGTAAGCCCCTCAAGAACCTGAGTCAGGGTCCAGATGCCCATTGTCCTGTAGAAAGAAGGGGTGGACAGTGTCCAGAAGTCTGTGTAGTTGGGCCGTGGTCCCCAGACTTGTCTCATAAAATACTCAAGACGCTTGGCTGTGTAAATGTGATATCGTGTGTGGGTGAAAGTCTCGATTGTGGATCAACAGTGGAAAATATTAAAATCTTGAGCTCTCTTAATTTACCTGTGAGAACGGAAATGAGAGCAATACAGAGTCGAGAAATTTGAAGCCAAATAAATGCTTAAAGGACCACTTCGTGGTGATTCTGCTGAAGCCATTTTTGGGGTTGGGAGGAGGACATCATGTTCCCAAAGCTCCTTCGAATTAAGGTAGTTTCACTGACTTTTTAAGAATCTTGGTGATAACGCACAAGCTTTCTTCCCTGTGTAATTTTAATAGCTTTGAACTTTTATCTTCTCTTAACCTTTACGACAGTGCCACCCCCCAGTCCCCACTCACCACTCACCTTGTCGGTCTGAGTTTGATGACAGACGTCACTGTGAACGCAGTGTTTGCGGTTACCTGTCTGTTCGTTCACCTCTCAGTTTGCGTGGTGTCGAGGACAACCCCTGCTTTTAAGAGCTGGATGGCAAACGGGCCCACAGCTGCAGCAGTCACACAGAATCTAGCGTCCCCACGGCGAGCGGCCCTGCCTGTCACCAGCTCTTGACAGAGCCCGAGTTCTGGACAGGGTGTCCCAGAGCTCCCTGGAAACCCGGTGGGAGCCAGGCCACCCGGTGGGACTCCCCGCTCCGCCCCCCTGCAGGGCTCCTGGCCTGTGCGTGATGGGCCGGGCGGGGAGAAGGGGCCCCACGTGTCTGTGTTTGACATTCTGGGCGGGGAGAAGGGGCTCCATGTGCACTGAGGACCGAGGGCTTTAAAAGCGGGTGTGAAGCGAGGCGAGCCTGCAGAGCGGAGCCCGGACCGGGGTCACCAACGAGGGGTCAGCGGTAGATGTGGTCACGTGCGTTTTGCCACAATAAAAAATTAACAGTGAAGGGGGAGCGCGTTGCCCTGCGAGGGCCCGCGGGGTGCCGTGCCTCGGCGCTGGTGGCGCATGCGTGTGTTTACGACGTCGCCTTGGGGACCTACACGTTTAAGTCCGTAATTCACACCTCTGAACTTCGGGCTGGGGGTCCTGAGGCGCGGTGTGCGTGTGTGCGCGTGCACTCGCGCGTGTGCTTCACACCTCTGAACTTCGGGCTGGGGGTCCTGAGGTGCGGTGTGCGTGCACTCGCGCGTGTGCAGTCAGGGAACCTGGCAGCCCCGCAGCCCCGCAGCCCCGCGTGTGGGACGTGTGTCCCGTCAGTGCTGGAGTTTGAAAACCACGTCCAGGAAAGTGGAGAGAAACAGGAACGCGGGTGTGTGCTGGTCACGGGTGTGTGCGGGTCACGCACGTGAGCGCGTGGGCCGACGAGCGAGCAGGCCGTGGAAGGTGGCCGCGTCCGCATGTGCACACGTGGGGTGTGTGTGGGGTCACGCGTGTGCTGCGCTGAGCCTGGAGGTCCAGGTGGCCCCAGGGTCCCTGCGTGCTGCGGTACCTGGGCAGCGCCGGATGCCGCGTCTGAGCGCCCCATACCCGCAGCGACGTGCTGGGCGTCCCGAGCCTCGGGGCGCTCACGTCCCCCCGCCACTTAGCCTCCTGGCCAGGTCGAGTGCAGCGTCCACGTACGGCGCGTGCCGCCGTGCCCACAGCACCCGCTGTCCCTCCTGTGGCGTGACGAGGTGCCCGGGCACGGTGCTTCTAAGGGGCTGCGTGTCCACGGAGTGCGGGGACCTGGGAGAGTGGCAGAGCAGTGGCGGGCGGCGGGCGGCTGGGGGACGGTGGAAAGCGAGGGCCGCCTCTGTGCCGGCCAAGCCGTCCGTGACGGTGGAGGTGGTGGGTGGAACTTGGTCTTGTGGAAGCTTGTAAGACAGGTGAAGGGCCCTGGTGAATGACCCTGGTGAATGACGTCAGAAACGGCTCTGAAGAGCTGGGGACAGAGGCCTGAGACCCATGGCCTCTGGGGCCACCAGCGAGGCCCTGTCGCGGTCTGGGCCTGGACGCACTGAAGCTGGGCAGTTCTGTGGCAGCCCTTTGCCCCCACTTAGTGGGTTTGTTCCCAGGGCTTAGGTGCTGCCAGGGGCGGTGGAGGGCGGTGGACAGGCCTCCGGGCACATCTTAGTCGACCTAGAGTGTGCTTTTGAAGTTCAAGTTCACCAGATCTGTGAACCGAAGACTGTCCGCTGGGGAGGTCTCGCAGGCGGCCGGTTTGCAGAAGCCCCTGGTCCGCGTCGCCCTCCTGCTGACCTCACGTGATGGCGCTGCCCCAGCGTTGACTGTCCCCAGAGTCGGGAGGCTGCTGGAGGGCAGTGCGGCTTCGTTTCTCAGATGCCGGCTCTGCCCGGCCCCGTGGGTGACGTCGATAGCCGAGATGTCCTTTGCTTCAGTTTCCTACCTTGTGCCGTGGTCAGAGGCCCGAGCGTTCTGCTGTGCTGTCTGATGACCCTTCTTGGGAGCGTGACGCACGGGGACTTGGGCAGGTGCTCTGAGCACTCCCGGATGTGCCGAGTCAGATGGCACAGGCCGTCTCGATCAGCACAGGGGTGCCACTCGCCCCGGTGCCATGTGCTGTCATGAATCTGTCTTCCTTCAGTTAGGGAAACACCAGGTCCCCAGCCCCAAAGCCGCTCGCTACGGAAGTTTGAAAGTGATTTGACATAGCGAGCATCATTCTGATTAATGAAAGGCCACGACATCCCCCCGGTCCCAGGCGAAATGCCCTTTCTGTCAGCGGGGCTTTCCAGGGCAGCCCGGCCGCCTTCTGAGTGACACCAGGCACCGTCTGGGACACACGAGCGTTCCTGACGTTCCTTCAGTGTTGGCTTTTTGGAGCCGACAGCAGTCGGGAGACATGGCCCTCCGTTGCCTTACCTCCTGACCAGCCCTGCTGGTGACCACTGGTGACGTTTATGTGGACATCACCCTTTAACTTTGCTCACGAGCAGCTCGCCAGCTCCCTGCAATGGGAGCCGAGCGTTTGTGCCTGTGCTGTCCCAGCCCCGTGGACTGTGCCTCCTGCGACGGACGCTTCCGTGGGGGGTCCCCTCAGAATGCGCTGGGATTCCCGGGTCCCAGTGCGCTTAGGAAGGAGGCGAATAGGTACCTGTGTCCCTAGGGGACGTCAATGTCTCCAAAACAATCTCATTTCGAAGCCAACAGGAGACGCTAACGTTTTACTCTGTCTTCACAGTGAGGCAGTGGTGACGAGACGGTTCTCCCCAGAACGTATCGACAAAGGTTTGAGACCCAGAAACATTTGTAAACCATCCAAATTTTGGTTTCTGGATTTAAGGAAGCCCAAGGTTGTCAGTGCAGATGTGAAAAGGAATTTTCCAGAAGTCCTGTTAAACGCACTGGGTGGCCGTCTAGCCTGACTTCGCAGAAGCTGTAAAACTTGGCTGGGAGGGTCGGGCCCAGTTGCCGCTAGGTGGTGGCCTCACTGGCAGGTGGCATTCATCTGGGAAGGGCCTGGGTCCCATCACGTAGCTCTTCTGAGACAGATCTCATGCACCCAGGCCACCTGTGTCCCCCAGGGACCCCAGGCAGGACACTCGGGGCAGAGGCTGCGGCCACGTCCGCTGCGCCCTGTTTTTCAGTGTCCTGCCGGGAAGGGTGTGGCGAGTAGCTCGGCTCCCCCTTCCCTGTCACGCCTCCAAAGGAGACTTTCGGTGTCAAGGTTTTGGATTTGAACATTAGACCTTTTAAGAGAGTCGTAGGCGCCTTTGGGGGTCAGGCCCATTGATCTGTGGCTGTTTCAGGGGCAGCCGGGGGTCCCGAGGCAGAGTGAGCTGTGTCCCTGCCCTGCCCTTTGTGGTCACGGGCCACGTAGCTGCCTCTTGAAGCGGTCGGTGACGGACACGCCACAGGAGCCCCAGGGGGCCTGCATGTAGCGGGCCCTTCGCAAGCGCTGGAAAGCCTTGTGCAGTAAGAGAAGTCTCTCCTGGTGCCTGGGAGGGGCCGTCACCCTCTGCTAGCTGGGGAGCGTGTGGTCACTGGCCACTAGGTGTGCAGTCTTGTCATTTCAATCAGTTCAAACAAGCAGCTCCCCTCCTGCCCCCCAAACGTCGTCATTGCTGGTCAGTTTGGCCAGCCCCGAGGGGCCGCGCGGAGGGCCAGCCAGACTCAGGAGGGCTGAGGCCGCGGAGACGGGGTGCACCTCGGGCGTGCCGCCGCGCCTGGGGTGCTGCTGGGCCCTGTGCTGTTCTCCCGAGGTGGTAACTTCACGTTTTACGTTTGACCCTCCAGGGGGAAAGCCAGGCCGCTGCTGCTGCTCCGAAGGCGTCGCGTCGCCTGTGCTCTGCAACGGGGACCGGAGTCACGGCCGCGGCGGGGGCCCGTCGGAGAACGGCACCGGGGCGCCGA